GCGCCCTCCTGTGGCCTCGGGAGACAATTAGACCTATACAATAAAGACCTATTTAATCTGCATATAAAACATTGAGATATTTGTTTAATTTTTATTGTGTGTTTGACTTAAAACAAAAAAATATTTGTTGTTTGTCTCAATAAATTGAGTTAATTTAAAAATACAGTAGTTAAATGTAAAAAAAAAATTATATTGCTCTTTGTTTTAAAAAAGGTTATAAAAATGTCAATAATTATCGATACCGAACGATATGAAACATTATATTGTTGATACATTTTTAGCTATATCGCCCAGGCCTACAGCACACACAGACCACACATGACATCACATCCTGTGGGGGTAAAGACTAGCTGAGGGTCAAGAGGAGGATATTAAAGCATAAGTGTGTGTGTGTGTGTTGTTCAGCAGATGTTTCCTGAGCTCAGCGACTGGGCTAAAGGTTTGAGGAAGGAGCTTTGGAGGAGTCCACATTCACATCCCTCTTCCTCAGGGAGTCGTACTGTCTTTTCTTTTTAGAGTTTCTGATCCTGATTTCTAGTTTTCTGTTTTCACACCAACCCAGTCTTGAATGGTCTGGGGCTCTTCAGTGTGTTGGAGAGCTTCGAGTCTGACCCGTTACGATGTCCTGCTGTCAGTCTGGCTCTCCTTAAGCTACTAGCTGTGTTTGGGAATATGGTGGCTGCGTTCTAGTTGGTAAAAGCCAGTAATAAACTGGTCCAAGCTGACTGAAAATGTTGGACCAAGAAAATGGTGGCTGGTTGACCAGCTAATGAGTGGCTGGACCAGCTAGAAACCAGCTACTGTCCAAACGACAACATGCAGTTAAAGCTCAATCACCCCACAGGCTGCTCTCAGCTCTCTTGAATACATTTACCAATTTTCCACCAGATTTCCAGCAGGCTTTCCCCTAAAATCAGAGTAAGCAAAACCGTTTGAAGGCTCAGTGTGGATCTGCTCAGTCGCACCACTGCAAACCACACGTGCCACTGTGCAGTATCTCTCAATGCCGAGTGAAAGTGAAATCAGCCCAGGAACTGCCTCAGACAACAACATCAGGCTGATCTAGAGAGAGGACCGTCCTTCCTCTCATTCAGCTGAGCTCATGCAGTCAAACATGCCATCACATCGATAGTTGGGAGAAAATGTTGAGATCTGTCGTGAGTATCATGTCATCAGCATCTGTTAGCATATTCTGTAATATCCCTCATGAGACGGTGGGCTAACGCACAGTGAAGGGTGTGATGGGAAAATAAATCGGGATGAAGAGTAAAGAGTGAATGCAGGAGAGGATCATCGCTCTGAGGGTGTGAAATGGAAGTGAACAGAGAACAAACGGCTCGCACGTACCACAAAGGAGAAGATGTCCTTTGAAACGCCCACTGTGTTCCCGGCCACGCTCACCGTCACATGATCGCTCGTCTGTTCCCACGATGCACCAGTCTCACAAACCAACCTGTAGCGACACACACAAACTGCTGGATCACGAGCCAATGCTCTGACATCAACGCTGTGTGTCCAGTCCAGCATCTGGACTGGACACATAACTCATCTGTCATTTGGTGAAGTTTGGATAATTAGCTGTGTGACGCCCACAAAAGCCATGAATAAAACTACAACACAACCCAGATGACATTAAATATGGCTTCACCTGCAACAAGGATAGACATGGTTTGTGCCTACATTGAATTCTAGGCTAAATGAATCATTATTGTTTATTTTTGTACAATGAACAGTGTCCAGTGTGAAATGTGTAAAAACTGAAGCACAGATGAACTCTGACACCAAGTGAAGCTCAAATCAACATGATATCAGTCTGAACTGTCAACCACATAATAAACGTCCCTGCAGGATCTGTCATTCAGTCAAACACCAGGTACCGTATGTCTGTAAAGATCATGTTAGTCAGTGGAGCACACATGCGGAGCTGATGAAGGCTGTGAGTGTTTGATCTGTGTCCTGTACCTGACTGAGACAGTGTAGTGTTGTGGCAGTATTCTGCAGGGCACATGGCCGATGGAGACATTGATCTGAGCAGCACTGTGTCCGAGGTTCTTGCCCTGCACCGTGAGCAGCGTCCCGCCAGTCAGCGGCCCCGACAGCGGCTCGACCTGCACATCAACACAGCGTGATTGAGCTGAGCCAGCGCCATGACCTGTACAAACACAGTCCAGCACCCTGCAGACACATGCTGGCATGTCAGACACGGTCAGGTTCACACAGAAGAGAGCTGAAACGCGGGAAGATCATCTCACGGTTTATTTTGAAATCCTGGCAGAACAGTTATCATAAACCTACCTGTTTATATGTTCATTACGGTTTGGGTAAGTCATTCAGGGCTTCAGACTAAACAACTTTACTCATAAACAATCTGTGCACCTAAAACACACACACACTCTCTCTCTCTCTCTCTCACACACACACACATGTTTCTAATGTGCATTGCCGGTCAAAAGACTGGAATAATGAGGATTTTGTAATGTTTTTGAAAAAGTCTCCAGGACTGCATTTATACAGTAAAACAGTAATATTGTGAAAGCTATATAGTGAGAGCTAACGTGACGCTCAGATCAAATGTACATTAATGATTGTAACATTTCAATTGAATTTCAATTCAACTGTAACGTTTTACATTTTCCTTCCTAACTCACAGACTACTTGAAATACACTAGTCAACTTTTGATACAAGAAACAAATATAGGTGCACTAATTAATAATACAATTGATATAATTCATTAATAATGACAAGACTATAATATTAGTGGGGCCTTGGTGGGGCGACTGTAACAGTGTTTGGGGGTAATTGTAACATTGAAAAATAAGTCATATTAACCCAATCTATCTCAAATAAAAACCTTCCTCAAAGTAGAGACCTGCGCGGGACGGATTTTTCAGTCCCGCAGAACTATATCTTATCTGGGCCCGCTCCCGCCCGTAAAAGCCTGCATAAAAGTAACCTATATATTGTTTTCAGTACATCGAAGAAATTTACATGAAATGGTTCTGTAACATCTCCTAAGCTCCACAACATCCCAGCATAAACACTATAACCGATCAAATATTTGTTATTTAGGCTAAGCATCAACATTCACAAACCACTGTTATTTTTAACAGAAAAGCAAGCATGGGCTGCTGCATGCATGGTGTGGCATTGCAGAATGCGAGCAGCGCTTCCTTTATTATCACTAAAAGCTGACATCTCAGTTAATCGCGATCTCATAAAGCTCTGTTATAACACAATAAACTGTTGCGTTGGGTCCTGCGGGAGTGCAGGTCTCTACCTCAAAGTAATCACTTTACTGCTGTAGTATCTAATAACGTTACTTAAGATTCTTTATTATTACTATTTTGTATATTGTTCAAATTCTTTTAGATGTCAGGCATCATATGCATTCAAAAAGCAAAAGTCTATTTCTATTTTTGAAGTCTAGGCAACTATTCTAGTGGTAACTAGATTTTAATTATTTAAATATATTTTAATATTTAATATATTATATTGGAGGAGCTGAGTGTGTTACAAATGCCCCCAGTCTCCCTACTGTTTAATGTGTACAGAAAATGTAGTATGGGAAACTTTCATCACAAAGATAGTACACTGCATAAAAAAGAGTGAAACCCGTCAAAGTAGGATATGTAAAGACACGTGTGAGATGAAAAGATGCTGTGAACAGTCCCGCGAGCATCATTAGCACTCAGAGTGTAATGAGTCCCGGTTCACGTCATTTTACCTGCTGTTCTCTTCATTTACACCCTCAGCGAAGCCAGAGACAGAGACAGAAAGAGAACGTGTGAACAGAGCACACAAATCACAGGCTGTTTTAAACACATTCAACTGCAGAAAGAAGTCTGAAAGAACTTCCCCAGCTCTCTCACACACACTACACTGTATTTCTACCAGTCTTCTGACTAGTTCAGCTAACCATTGTGCTTCATGCACTGCGCGCTCTCAGTGCACTCTTGTAGTTGAACTAACTTTCAAAAGAGTAGCTTCCCAACACTGCAAATGATGCAGTTCTCTTTGAGCACATCTTCTCTGGTATGTTCACTGCTTGTTATCAGTTAACATTAGTACCTAGATGCTGCGAATTATTATGGTTAAATAAAAGACTGCTTTTCTCTAGAATAACATCTACTGATGAGACCAGGAACACGACTTAAGTGAGTCGATGTTGTTCACATCTGCTCTTCATCTGACCACTCCTGTAAAACACTCTCTCTGCTCTCCCTCAAACCAATCCTTTCCGCTGTTTCTGACCTGCTAGCTGGTTATAGAACACTATTATGTAAGACGAATGCTTTAGAGCAGAAATTTTAAACTGCACATGCGATGTGTGTGTGTTTGTCAAGTATCTAGTTTGTAAACTGACATTTTTGGTTTTATTGACATTTCTGTCTTGCTACATGTTACATTTACTTACTATAATAATAACAGTAAATTATGCATAATTACAAGCAAGTAACTCTAAACACAAGCTATATAACCTATAGCAAGGATCCTCAAATCTGGCCCACGAGAGCCACTTTCCTGCAGAGTTTGGCTCTAACCCTAATCAAACGCACCTGAGCATGCTAATCGATGTCTTCAGGATCATTAGAAAAGCACAGGTAGGGGAATTTGATCAGGCATGGAGCTAAACTCGGCAGCGCTAAATCCTCCAGGGCAAGATTTGAGGAACCCTGACCTATAGTAGGTACATGTTGTTAATTAATATTAGTCAGTATTTATTTGTGTAATTACACTGCAGGGACACATTAAAATAATGTGTGTCCCAATGTATTTCTTAGCAGTTGCTTTTTCATAAAGCAGGCCTCAGTTATGACTTAGTTAGGGGGAACAACACTAAATAAAGAAAGAAAGAAATTAGCAATAATAGTGGATCACGCAACTTGGGTAATTAAAATTTTGAGCCGATTCTGATTGGCATCTTGATGAATCTGAGTAGAATTACACACATTGTTGAGGCTCCTTCTGAAACTCTAGAGCAGTTTAAGGAACAGTTCAGTTGAGTCAATATTTACTCATACTGGCGTTGTTCTAAAGCCATTGGCCTCCTTTCTTAGTCTAAATAATATAACACGCTTTGTTCCTTGGCCGGAAAACAAAAGAAGGTCGTACAGCTTCAGAAGAATGGCAGGGTGAATAAACAATGACTGGATTTTCATTTCAGGTGAACCACCTCTTCAGAAGAAACATCTGAGAAGCAGGAGTTAAAGTCTCTGTCTGACCTCACTGCCGTTCATGACCTCTTTCTGTGTGTGTGCATGCGTGCGTGTGTGAGTGTGCGCAAGTGTGCGCGTGTGTGTGCTGTACCTTCTGTATGTGTGGGTCCGGGCAGCGTGTGGTGATGGAGTGGCACTGCTCCTGCTGCTGACAGCTGTTCTCACACCAGACACAGATGTGACCCTGCGCCTGACGGCCCCAACACTGAGAGCAGTCGCTGTCGCCCGCACTGCAGCTGTAGACCGCCACTGCACACACACACACACACACATACATCATTACACATCTGTCCTCTGAGGCCTTTCCAGAAGTCTGAGCCGTTGCTTTAACCCGGGTCACACATGACATCCAGCCAGGGTGAGCTGGGGACACTGTCCCACACACAACAGGCCCCGGGCTCCACGAATGCTGAACACAAGCACATGACAGCATCACAAAACTACAGGCCTGCAGGCCAGTCTGTGTATTTGATAATATCTGTGTTACTCCTCACTGGATTATGCACTGTATACCCGTCAACAACAGTGATCTTGATGTGGGAAATGAGCAGAGAACTCTCAAACAACAATTCTGCAGTTTCAGAAGCATGAGAAAGCTTCAACCATTAATGAGCAAAAACTGGATGTGCTGGTCTCTTTGAATATAAAATCAATTATTACATGTAAATTGTTAATGAGCTCATTCATTTGTCACACTGCAGGACCATTCAAGTTAACTAGAGAAGACGATGGTGATTAAAATGGTGAAAAACTACCTAAAATCTAAAATCATTACCAAAATGTATACATTCCCTCGCAGACTAACAAAATGGTTTAGAAATAATTTTCACTCAGAAATTGCTAGTAAATTTTACAAAGAAATGGCAATTAACACATTAAATTACATCAAATATTGAAATAGAACGACTGAAATGTATGTTCTTGTAAAAACTACACCAATAATCTTTGTTTTATTCTAAAAGAAAACAAATCTTTCTTTCATTCTACTTCTAAAAATCCTTACAATGCACATTCATACACATTTTTAACTTAAAATCTTTATGTTGATTTTCATGTTCATTTTGCAGACAAATTTGTAGATGGAAATGAGCTAAATCTGACAAAATCTCCCAAAACCTCCTTTTGGGCATATACTCGTTTGTTAATGAATGGATGGATGGATGGATGAACAGGTGTGTTGGTAGGTAGTAGGGGTGTAACGGTTCTCCACCCGCGGTTCAACTTAAATCTGACGACGCATCTGTAATGTGGTTTGTTCAAAATAACAACAACACGTAAAACAGACAGAGAAAGTTTTTTTTTAATTGTAAAAATGCAGAAAGTTTCCTGTGAGGGGTAGGTTTAGGTGTAGGGTTGGTGTAGGGTGATAGAATATACGGTCTGTACAGTAGAAAAACCATTACGCCTATGGAGAGTCCCCATTTAGATAGCTAAGTAAACGTGTGTGCGTGTGCTGTGATGAGTCAGTGTGAGCAGCAGACAGTCTGATGGTGATGAGACATGCTCAGCATTAATGTGATTACTACACCGATTTCACACACTTCCTTAAGGACACCAGCAAACCATCTGTTATCAGTGTGTGTGTGTGTGTGTGTGTGTGTGTGTGTGTGTGTGTGCTGATACCTGTCATTGTCTTTGGACTGTCTATATATGTGCTGGTTCCTCTTCTCCGAAGATTCAGATTGAATATCTTGCTCCACATTGTAGTTTTTAGCTGCACAAACACATGAAACACTTTTATTCATCAGTAAATCAAATATTTGAGTTACAGTTACAAACCCACTGTATGATCATACTGATGTATTTCAGAGTGAAACGAGACATTCAGACTGGAGTTTATGCATTAGAAGTGTCCGCTGTGCAGCAGTATGGTGTGAGTGTACAGTGTGACTGCCGTGTTTTGGATGTGTTGGATGAACTTACGGTCACTCCACTGCAGTTCACCGACGGCCCATCCAGCCACTGCGCTCTGTAGAGCTGCCCGTCGCCGAAATCACAGTCCAGCTCAGCGCCCTGCACACACACACACACACACACACACACACACAGAGCATGACGAGCAGAGCCACAGCTATGTCCAATCCCATCAGACTGAAGGCATGTTCAGACAACATCACAAGACCATCAGACAGACAACAGATCTCAGCAATGCCACGCAAACCCTCCCAAACCACACACAGTCACATCACACTCCTGATAGAACATAGATCATAAAATCCTCTTTCTCTCAAGGAGGATTCCCACACTCTCAACCAGTGAATGCCATGCTGTATGCAGCAGAAAACATGCTCAGAATACACACAGACGTATACACACACACATATGAACGTGTGTGAAGCCATCTGGAATTCATAATGCAGACCCACACGGAGAGGAAGCGCTGCGAGGCCTTTATTATCCACAGTACAACAGCAGAAGGAGTGTGAGTCTGTGTGAGCCTGTCAAAGCCGCTCAAGGTCTACGACACGACATGAGCTTCAGCAGTTAGCTTCAGCTAGCTTTTGTTCTGCTGTCAGACACATGGTCTTGACCTGTGGATTTGGGTCTCTTTGAGGCCACTGGCTGCTGCAGGTCTGTGCAAAGTAGCTACATTACTCTTCAGTTTGCAGAAGAGCACATCTCAGTGATTCTACCTCATTTCTGATCCACAGAAGAACCCAAAGTTTGGGACGGCAGGCCCCTTACCACACAAAATAGCATAGTCATCCCTCAGTTTGTTTGGACTGTGTTGCAAATGTTGTGTATTCCAGTCTTTACAAACGGCATCCACTCAGCACAGCCTCTTCTAGCAGCATGATATATTATACTGACAGCAACCAAGAGTGTGAATAGTGACTAAACAGGATCACAAGAGCTGTCCATCAATACTGAGACAGAGCCCTGACAGGAGCCGTGTCCCCAGACCACAGATATGTGTGTGTGTGTGTGTGTGTGTGTGTGTGTGTGTGTGTGTGACACTCGAGTCCTACATGTTCTATGTTCTTGAGCTCCAGGGAGAAGACATGAGTGCTTCCAGTGGGCAGTGGAGTAACATCATAGGCCAGCATCCTGGGACAGGACGAGGAATTCTGGGACAGAAACAAAAGGCGAGAACAAATGAGATTCAAGAAAAACAACAGTGAGCAGTGTTTAGAGAACCATGAATGCGAGCAGTCTCCTGAGTGTGTGTGTGAGGGAATATGTCAACACCAGAGGAAGGGTGGGCACACACAGTGAAAATGCAAACATCAGTTATTTATGGCTGTACAAACACAATCACACCACATTCTACCCCGCACTATGTTTTTATGGAAAGATGGAGTGTTAGCATATGAGAAAAAGACAACAATTCTTTTTTTTTTTTCTGTGGAATGTTGACCAAAAAGTCTCTTGAATTGCCAGCAGTCTGTTTTTACGCTGCACAATTCACTGATGCATGTTATTTTCAAGATAAAAATGAGAGAGACATGCAGTTGTTTTTAAGTCATTTGGAAATCATACTTTTGTTCCATATAAACAAACTTTAACATTTACTGTGTCCAAATTTCCTCTCCTCTCCAGCCATGACTATTAAAGCTGAAACTAAACTGCTAAACTTCTGAAATCTTCATGGTTATGAGGTGGAGATATGGCCATCTATAGTTACATAGCAGCATGTTTCTACATCAGTTATACCACAGTAGATATATATTTATATATTTGCAGGGCTATCCACGGGCAGCAATGCTTTATGTTACTGATATGTGAGAGCGATGAAGACGCTGTGAGTAATGTGAAAACACAGAGAGGGACTAGAAATCACTCAAATCTGTTAACTGATCTGTTTTATAGTGTTAGTTTTACGCCCCGAAACAAACTCACTGCAAGTACATGAATGCAAGCACTTCTACAAAAGCATTTTTTGTGTGTGTTTTGTTGAATTCTGAAGTGCGTCACAATGCAGTTCACACATAATGCAGTGGAATGTTGTGCTCTCAGTGTCTCAGCACATGTGTGTTATGGTGGGTATTACAGTAAATCATCTGCTTCTACTGCCGGTTTATGCAGTTTAGAAGAATAGAGAGTTTAGTAATTTCATGAGGTTTAAACGAAATATATAATTGAATGTTATCTGCATAACAATGATAACAGACACCAAGAAATGTACTTATTAATTACCCAAGAGGCAGCAAATATAAAGCAAAAAGCATTGGAGCCAAAACAGAACCTTGGGGAACACCACAGGACAGAGAAGCTGCTGATGACACAATTTTGAACTCACACTGAAAAATACCTGTCTGATAAGTATGAAGAGAACCACATATGATTATAACACATATGATTATCTAAGACAGCTGTAAGTTGATCATTAATAGTGTGAATGGGGGGGATATGAACTGACTGCCAGTGTTTTCAGTAAGTGGATGAAATTACTGGTTTCAGTCAGGTTGATTATTCAGCACTGCACCGTCAGAACATGTGAACCGTCAGCTGTCTCACATGCAGCGTTCCTCTTTCCTCAGAATGAATCCTGCATGTCTTACACAATCTGTTTCAGTCCTGAAAACAAAGCTCTGTTGCGATACTTTAAGGAATCATAGTTGTGCTGTATATTGAAGGCTGCTCCAAAAGGTAGGCAGCACAATTCTGTGAAGGCAATCCCACAGTGCACTGCGGTAAGCGATGTCAGAAAATCAATCCAATATGGTGGATGGAGTGAGAGAAAAGTTGATGTATGTAGGCAGAGGAATGGTTGAGGAATCTCATTCATTATATTGTACACAGAGGACTGTTTGTGTTTGTGTTTTATGACTTTTGTTTAAGAAAAAAAATCCCTATTGGGTTTTTAGGTCATTTTAGATCTTATCTATACCATCATTTGCACACTGAAATCAGTAACATGACAGTCATTTAAAGAGCATAGTCATTGGTCTAATCAAAAATCATAGTTTTCAGTTTGTCTAAAAGCAAATAACAGTGACTAGCTTTACTTACTTTTACTCTGGGTTTCATTCATTTTACTGGTGATTTTGTTTTTGTACATAACAGAAATTATGGTGCACATTTTAAAAATTCATCACGATAAACAAGTTGTCTTTATTTATAGTAGCAGAGAACACAATCCCAGCATGCACTGCAAAAAGCTAGAAATAAGAAATAATTCAAGAAATAATTCATTCCATGACAGAGCAAGAGAAATGTTCAGTGGAATACTGAAATCTGCCTGCTTAATCAATATATTTGCTTTAGACACAAGCCAAAATGTCATTGAATAACAAAATGTTTTTAGGTTTATTGTGAAATTAATTTGTAAAAAAAAAATATATATATATATTACACTGACCTACACAAGTGACATTTTGGCTTGTGTCTAAAGCAAATATATTGATTAAGCAGGCAGATTTCAGTATTCCACTGAACATTTCTCTTGCTCTCTGATTATTATTTCCCTCAGCTTGTTGCAGTGCATGCTGGGATTGCGTTCTCCACTAAGGACACATTAGTCATGCATCATGTTTATGATGAGGTGTAGATGCGCCGCACTCAAACAGCTCGTGCACCTACAGGACGACACAGGACTGGTCAGAAACATTCTCATACTCTGCTCACGCCTCACACTTAACGGTGATGTTTTACTCATATGAGTCACATGAACTAGCAAACTTGGACAATATTAATGTGCTATCATGAAATCGGGTTGTGCAACATGGCTTTTGATTCTGGTGATATCGTCTGTGCCTTTATTGTTATCTTTATCATTGTATTAGTTATTGTCTGTGGTGTGAGCAGCTTTAACACCTGTGCAGGTGTTCAGCTACATCTGACTGTTTTGATAGTCTTTCATTGTTTAGATTCGGAATATATTTCAATATGGCATTACTGTACAAATGCAGCAAACTGCTGTCTTATTCAGTTTTCTATGTTAAGGCTTTCACCAGTTTTTCTGTAGGTCCGTAGAGTTTTGGTGTTTTTGGTGTTTCTGAGTGAGAAATGAATTCATGTGCTTTGAAAGCTGTAGTCATTGAATGAATTTTGTGTCAAAGCAATGATAATTGAGCCACAGTTCAGCCTCATAGATGCTGTTGTGCTCATTGAAAGAGTGATCTAAGTACTGAGAAATGGATCCTAGAGATTGTTAAAAACTGTAAGAGGAAGCAGTCAGTGTGTCCATGTGTAAGTGTATGTGTGTTCTTACAGCAGTGCTTCTTGAACTTTTTTTGGCCACACCCCCTGTTAACCCTTTAAAGATATCTGCCGATATCTGTCCCACACTTTGAGACGCTCTGCCTCACGGGTTCAGAAGAGTGCGCATGTGTGTGGAAAAGACCAGATAACTGAAGAACTGAAAATGGCTTACTGACCGTGCCGCATGATTACAGGAGCGCACAGACGACACAGTTTATGTGGACGTGAGGAAACGTGTGCATGTGTGAGACATGCTGACTAACAGATCAGAGATCAGAAAGTGGCTGTGTGAAACAGTGCCGTGCGTCTGCAGGAGGAGCAGAGGCGCTTTCATCCTCACAAACACAGATGAGCGTCAGTGGAGCCACACAATTAGCCAGGCATTCATTACACCGCTATCACTGACAGAGAGGAGGTGTGTGTGTTTGTTTAAGATCAACTCCAGCACTGCTCTGTGTGTGTGTGTGTGTTAGTGGGGTGTTATCTCTCGTGCTGGAGTGACTGATGTCTGATTGATGATTACAGGAGCGCACAGACGACACAGTTTATGTGGACGTGAGGAAACGTGTGCATGTGTGAGACATGCTGACTAACAGATCAGAGATCAGAAAGTGGCTGTGTGAAACAGTGCTGTGCGTCTGCAGGAGGAGCAGAGGCGCTTTCATCCTCACAAACACAGATGAGCGTCAGTGGAGCCACACAATTAGCCAGGCATTCATTACACCGCTATCACTGACAGAGAGGAGGTGTGTGTGTTTGTTTAAGATCAACTCCAGCACTGCTCTGTGTGTGTGTGTGTTAGTGGGGTGTTATCTCTCGTGCTGGAGTGACTGATGTCTGATTGAGAGTCTCTCTGGGGGGCCGACAGTGTGTGTGTGTGTGTGTGTGTGAGAGAGAGTAACCAGACATTATCTCAAACACCCTTATCACAAACACTCTTCTCTCCCTGTTTGTGATCAAGTCTTTCTCTTTTTCTGTTAAAAACACCTACACTTCAAATCATGTTTTTCATAAAGAAATGTTATGTTTTATAATTACATGATTTTGTAAAGTCACATTTTTTTCTTTTGATTTTGGGGTGAAATGTGACCAGAGCATTTCATTTTCATGAGTTAATATCTCGTTTCTGTTAATGGTTCATGTAATCGAGACTCTGACAGTCGTGTGATGTGCTCAGCGGCGCAGAAACTGCGCTCAGTTTAGGGTTTTTTAGAGTAATTTATAGATCAGTGTGAAGAGTGTGCACTGGTGTGAATATTTTAAATGACATCAACATGCGGATGATGCAGAAGATGCTGTTATAGATGTGAAGTTTCACATTGCACTGCCTCTCCTGCGGCCCTGAGCTTATTATCACCTTCACAGATGGCCACATGTAAATGAACTCACACACACCTGACAACAGCTGAAATCACTGCTGAACACTCTGCTCTATGACAACAGCACATGTGGTGTCACAGCAGAAACGTGAGCACAGATTTTACTGCACCTTTTATACCACAGTATGGAGATTTGTGCGGCCTATAATGTGCTACACTTCATGCGAGTTGTGCAGTGTGAGACCCAATGGTTTGTTATGAATAATCTTGTCAAGTTCTAAATAAAAAGAGAAAAATAATCAAAAGAGATGAAGTACCTTTCATTCACTGGATTATCCAAAACAAGGTGTCACCCTATGGTTATGTAACATAACATTTCATTGTATTTCCAGCAAAATTAAGATTAATTGCATATATACTGTGAGGATTTTGGTCATAGCCATAACAACATGAAATAATTTTACAGCTGTAACTGTGAGTAATGCCTTGACTATATATACGTGCATGAGTGTGTGTGTGTGTTTACTCACGCAGTTTTGTAGTGGATTTCTCCAGTTAGTTTGCACTCATAAATGATGAAACTTCCGGAAACCACAGGAACACCATTAACCCTGATGGCCACGGGGACCGTGACGTGATCTAAACACAGACAAATTATTCCACACTACATGGAAGAAGCAAAAGTCTTCTGGGCTGAAATAGCATCGGCTAACAAAATATATGACAAAGTTTGTACATTGTGTGTTTCTGGCTGCCTTCTGTCTTGTCTTGCAATCAACTGCTTTTGACAGCCTTAGGTTCATAACATTCATTTAAGAAAAACTATCTCAGCTGGAGTGATTCAGCAAAGAATCAGATGAGCTCTGTTTGCTTGCTAAATCATTCTGCCCATTGAAGCTGTGTCGGCTGTGTATGTACCTTTGCCGAAGGGGATTGTGGGATACATGTGAGGGGGCAGCAAAGGGCAGGTCTGGATCTGGGTTGTGCTGTAGTCCAGATGTACGGTGGCGCTTGTGGTGATTCCCACGCCATAATCACACTCCAACTGCAAACCCTGCAGATCCGGCACACTGCCGTTGATCAGGATCCCCAGGTCCTGAGAGGAGCACATGATCAGCACACACTACGCCTG